GTATATACACACATGTATACATAAATACCTGTCTCTTATACACATCTAGATGCAAAATTGGACCCCATCTCATCCAGGTCGATCCGGCACCAGGACGTTTCTATGTCCTACCCAAAATCCACAAAGCAGGCCATCCTGGCAGACCCATTATTTCGGGCAACAGTACTGCTACAGAAAAAAAATCTCTGAATATGTGGATGATTTATTGAGACCGTATGTTGTTGCTATCCCCTCGTACATTCAGGACTCCACGGACTTTATCCGCAAAATTAACAAAAAATTTCAAATTTACCTAATAATACTGTTTCTGGCTACACTTGATGTTTCGTCATTTTATACTAATATCCCTCATGAAGAAGGTGTTAATGCGTGCATTTCAAATTACAAGCAAATTCGGGGCAAAACCCCATCTAAATCACATCTCATGCTGATTCTGACCAATAATAACTTTGTTTTCAGCGACGGTCATTACCTTCAAATTCATGGCACAGCGATCGGCACCAAAATGGCTCCATCTTTTGCTAACTTATTTATGGGACAATTTGAGGCCAATTTCCTGTCCCTACAGCCCAAGAAACCAGATGTTTGGTTTCGTTACATCGATGATATCTTCATGATCTGGACCCATGGTGAAGATAGTTTCGACACGTTCCTATTGAACATTAATTCGGCTCATCCGACAATCAAATTCACTGCTAACAAATCCACAAGCAGTGTAGATTTTTTTGGACATCACCGTGACCATGGAAAATGGTGCACTTAAAACTGATCTCTTCCGTAAACCCACGGATAAGCACATGTACCTGCTCGCTGGCAGCTGTCACCCCCGCACTGTACAAAAAACATTCCGTACAGCCAAGCATTGCGCATGAGACGCATTTGTTCTTCGGATTTAGATTTTCAGAATCGAACAGAAGAACTATCCGGACATCTCCGGAATAGAAATTATCATCGAGGACCCATTGAAAATGCTATAAAAGAAAAAAAAAGCAAAGGACATACCTCGTGCTCAAACACTGACGTACAAACCACGTCAACGATCGACCAGAGTGCCACTGGTCACTACCTATCACCCTAGGTTACCCCCACTAAGGGCTATAATTCAGAAACATATGCCCATTAGACTAGAAATAAATATCTGAAAAAATGAGTTAGGGGGAGTGGAATGTTAGAAGCAATCCACATAGCCAGATATCCTAATTAATCCCTTCTGGTCACCCTAAGCCCTGTTGACACTTGATTTTACGTCTTGTATACAAATGGCGGCCATTTTTCAAAATGGCCGCCAAATTTATCTGAAATGTGCATAAAATTGGAACTAAATAGGCTACAAATATGATGTTGGTGTTTAAACTCATAATTTCTAGACAGGCAACAAACTAGACATATAAAAACTACTGTCACTCATGCTAGAATGGAACATAATGAAAAAATAGGTGTTTATTTGTTTTAAAATAATCGCAAAATATACTTAAAATGTACATAGAATAAGAACTAGTATATAAGCTACTAGTAAAGTTTTCTATGTAATCCAGATAGATTTCTGTGCATAAATATATTTTATTGACTAATTTAATCATTTTTACGGAGCTGAATTAAAAAAAGTTAGGTGCCATTTTTCCCAACGTCATCGGCCACCATTTTGAAGTTCAAGATGACTGACTCACCACATAAAACATGGTCATGATTGGTGTCAATGGAAAGTGAATTATACACTGATCATTTATTGTCATTACACCTAAACAACATAATACATATTTACAGCGATATAGATCAATATATAAAGTCACAAGACACAAAAGGCCAAAAGGTAAAAAAAAATCAAAATTACCAAAATCTGTCGTGTTTGGTATCATTTGAAAGCTCTGCCAATGATGTTTTCCGGTATATACATATTAGAAACTGTGTAGTTGTTTATATATTCTCCTGTAAATCTAATTATGGCATACTGTATAAAAAATAAACAGGACTTAGTTGCCTAATGTTCGTGCGCTCTCGGTGGGGAGGGGGGTGGGTTCTCTTACTACTAACTAGCATTTTACTATCGAGTCTTAATCGTGCATAACGCATGTGCTTTATGGGCCAAGTCCCAGTTCAAGTGGGTCCTTGAGAGGCCACGGGGGCCGAGCCCTTCTTACTACTGTACTACCCATCACTCTATTAAAACGCCTTGTAACTTTTTCTATAATTTAAAAAAAAAAACCCAAATAGAACAAAATCCCACAAGCACACTCTTTGGCTGATGTATTAGATGGGTTCAGTCCAAACGACCCATCATTTTACTATGGAGGTTTGACCAGATATGTACACCTGTGTGCTTTCTGGGGAAATGCTTAGTTCCTCCGAGTCCAAATGAACCCCGGATAGGCCAGGGCCCCACTCTTGCTTAATGGTGGCCAAGGCAAATACAGTATGTTATGTTTTCCTACTTATTGATGATTCTACATACAGTAATATTGTAACTACAATGGTACCGTTATGGTAACGTGCTGTATTCTACACTAAATCAAAATGGAATATTCACTGCCTGTTGGATCCCAGTTTTAGTATTGCAGGGGTTCTGAAGGCTTACAGTATAACCAATCCCCGTATTTCTGATAGATTGCTGATGTAAAATATTTAAGATTTTATATTCAGTACATTCTCAAATGTTATGTAAATCTCATATATTCCAAAATTACGTTATATTCATGCACCGAAGTAGAAAGTTTAACTTAATAATTTTGATATGTTTTATGTTGAATGGTTTTTAATATTATTACAGTCTAATATGACCACAACACAAGGAAGTTTATAAATTTATATTTTAAGTCATGTAATTACAATATAAATTAGGCCTATTATTATTATTATTATTTATTATTATTAGCAATTCTTCTCTATGATCTAAATTCAAGTAATAATGAAATGATTAAGAATATTATTGTTTTTTTTATATTCTAATAAAATATTTAGAAAATGTATTATATATATAGATTTAGATGGAAATGTAAGTTTTTGTTTGCTTAGTGAACACAGTTGATTCGAGTAAACTGTGCATTTATACCTTTTTGTCATGCCATTTGCTTTAAATAAATGTTGTAGTTGTGCCTCTTTGCCATAGTTATTTGCTAAATAATCGTTTTTGTTGTCCCTCTTTGTTACTGTTATTTCTAGTTAAAATGTGAATTGTTATTCTGCCATGGTTAATTATTTTTATTAAACAATTACTATTTTCCTATAGTTTATTTCCATAGTAGTAAACTGTTGCCATTCAAAGTAAGGCAAGATTATATAGCATAAATTAACCAGGCTTATCATGTTTGCCTAACATTAACTAGACATATGCTACTGTCAAGAATCATACTATTAAAAAAATTTCTATTTACAAATTGTGAGTACACAAACAGTAAGAATAATAAAAATAATACAACTTAACATGCAACCTTCATTGTAACCAGGGAGAAAGCTCTCTTCTGTTTGGTTGGCTGTTGAAAGAACGTCACGCTTCAGCGTATCCCAGCCTATCTTTGCAGTTATGCCCTTTTGCCTTGGGAATTTACTGAAAATTGTGTAGTTATGCCCTTTTGCCATGCCCCTATCTAGCCCGGGGGACACTTTTTTTACAATTTTTTTGTGTCAACATGTGTAACATGATGTACTGACCCCACTAGGCTATATAACTCAATTTCTCCAAAAATGTCAGTTATGCCCTTTTGCCATGGGGGTGGGGGCGGTATTGTTAAGGCGTTGTAGGAGAGTGTTGAGTATCAGTGTTACTCCAGGGCCCATTTGGACTCGGACTTCACCCAGAAAGCACATGCGTTACTTAAGGCTTGCTAATTGTTACCTAAAAAGATGTGTATAAGAGACAGTATATATATATATATATATATGGTGTGTGTGTGTGTGTTTACTGTTAGGTTTTTAGTAATAGGTTTTAAATAATAGAGGAAAATGAAATATTAACGTAACACGTTGCTATTTAGATGCAGTGTATGAATTGAATAGTAAGCCATAAACTATGCGACGTCATCATATTTTATGTATTATGTAGTGCAAGTGAATCTTGACGGAGATTATTCGATTTCTGGTGGCGGACTTCAAGGTTCATATTTGACTGCTCAGTTCCATTTTCACTGGGGAAGCACTCTTAAACAAGGATCTGAACATTTGGTCGACAGTACGGCATACCCGGCAGAGGTACGCTGTGCGATAAATAGTACATTTTTTGTTTGAGGTTGCTTAGAGAATATTATGGGTTCCGGTCTTATATAACTGGCATATGCCTACATTGTTAAAAATGGACCTTTGAGCATTTTCGATGCTCCAATTGTATAAAATTGTAAAATACTTTATATACAGTTTCAATTTAAATTAATAATACTTTCAAAAATGTTATCAAAATAAAATTATTTGAAGGTGTGGCTGTAAAATTAACAAGTGTTTTAAACTATAATTTTGAGGTATCATTACTGTTGCTGCTACTGCTACTGCTACTGCTGCTAGTGTTGTAGCTGCTGCTGCTTCTGGTAATGTTACCTCCTACTCCTCCCAAAGAACTTGTTAAGCTCTACACCGCTGCAATCTATTTATTATTTTTCTTGCGTTTCAGATACATGTTGTCCATTATAGTGACAGGTTTACCAGTGTACCTGCAGCAGCCAACGATCCAACAGGACTGGCCGTGCTTGGAGTTTTCATTCAGGTGTTGATAACTCTCATATTTACCTATTGTCATATCAGGGAACAGTGAAATTAATTAATTTCACTGTTCCCTGGTCATATTGATACAACCTGTTTTAAAATTCCCAAGAACAGCGAATAAAAAACCATTGGGGGTAAATTATTTATGCTACAGTTCTCCAGTCGCGTCACGCTGTTGCGCTGATGGGGTGTGGGGGAGGGGGTCGGAGCGCCAGGGCCCCCAGGTACGGGGGCCCCGACATTGTAGTTAAATAAAGATTGACAGCATGGATCTTCAACAAAGAGCTCATCTCGAACTTAAAATGTTTAGATATTAATAAAAAAATTTTCATGTCTCATAATTACAGTAGGCCTATTATCATATAATTTTACATTTATTTTTTATGGTAGGCCCTATCTCATGTATTCTTTAGTTGATATATTCTGATAATTGTCAGTAAAAAATACATATTTATCTTACTAGTTTTTCGATCAGATCAGATCACACTAGCTGCATCAATAGGATCAAGAACACACTGTCAGCTGCCACGCGTGCGGCTCATGTTAGTGGGATAGGTTCGATCATGGACGGCAGAAATATGCATTCCCATTAAAAAAAAATGTGGATTCCTAACAGATTTTCAGTTGTAAAAATACAACCCTAAAGTAGCAAACAATGCATTTTTTGGGTATTTAGGGAAGAAACCATTTCGAGGATGCCCCGGACACCCACCACACCCCAGGGGAGGGGTTTTAGAAGAAAAGTCTCACGCCTGCGAAATTTTCGAACTTGGCATGCATGAGGGCCCCCCAATAACAGTCAGTGTCAGGGCCCCACAAACTACGTGACGCCGCTGTAGTTCACCCTCCAATTCGAGACCACCTCTGCGACCTGAACATTTGGGGCTCTCTTGGGTTTGGTTTTCTCTTAAAGTATTAGATTCGTGTTAAAAGATTGTTATTTTGTTCTTTTGAAAAAGTGGTCTCGAATTTGAGGTCCTCGGAATTAGAGGATTCACAAATTAGAGGGTGCCTTGTAGTATTATTTATTCTGATTAATAAAATGAGCATGATTAAAATAATGATGAAAATGATCATGATTATCATGAACAAGATGAAGATTGTTATCATGATGATTGTGATAATGATGATGATGATGATGATGATGATGATGATGATGATGATGATGATGATGATGATGATGATGATGATGCTGATGATGATGATGATGATGATGATGGTGGTGGTGGTAATAGAGCATACCAATGATTTTAATATGTTAATGGTACGTCACGTCGTCAAGCCTGAAAATATCCGAAACTAAATCAAAAGATACTACCTTTAGTATTTCGAAACACCAAAATCAGAAGGCTAAGCTATGAAGATAATATATTTTTCTATAAATTCTTAAATTTGTAAATGTTTAATTCAAGGAATCTAATGAAGACAACTCGAATTTTAACACCATTATCAGTGCTATACAAGATGTTCAACAAGCAGGTACGTTAATATGAATTATGCTTTGCCCAACCTGCGCAATTCTCTTCTTTAAAATCACTCATTTAGTGCCTTCAATTGTTGATACAGAATACTGCTGCCGAGTCATAACTGGCACACAGAAATATGTACACATCACACCTGTTCAGCAACTGCATTGGCTTCCTATTTCAAAAAGAATTACTTTTAAGATGTTATTAATCGTATTTAAAAAAAATAAGCTGTTTGGGTCTCAGTTGTCTCAATGACCTCTTATTAGTCAAAAACGATCACGTAATCTTCGCCCCAGCGGCAAGTCATTGCTTTTTGAGCCACATGCGTTATTCATGGACAATCGGTAATTTTCTGTTACTGCTCGCAAACTTTGGAACAATCTACCAATAAACCAGCGAGCCATCACTGGGGCTTCAGTGTACTGGTAAACAGAGCGGTAAATAATGGTTCCTCTGCTTTTGGTTAGTTTATAGGATATTTAATGCCTTAGTTTTCAAGCATATCCTAAAATTGATATGAGCGTTATAGAATTCTCATTTACCTTATCTTATCTTTTCTATCGTAATGTCAAAGGTAGGTTAAGTAACCTAGATTAAATGAATTTTAATAAATTATAATAGACCTAGCCAATTTATTTGCGATTTTTGATTTGCCTGTAATTGTTACCTAAAATATCGTTATTGGATTACAGTATAATATGTACAGAGATAAACTATAAAATATCTTGCGATAATGTTAAACATAAATTACAAACATTAAATATAATTAAAATATTTCCTTAACCAAGATTTGAAGCCGAGCTTCCTGCTTAATATACAGACGCTTCCACCCACTAGATTTGAGTTCGATTCTAAGCAATTGTTGACTATTTGTTACGTACTGTAGTAAAGATTTCAAAAGAAAACAGATTTCAACAAATGCTGACTCACAGTCATCTTTGCCATCTGTTTAAATCCAAATCTTTCTTGAATGAAGACTTCAGAAAAAATAGATCCGCTATCCATATTCCAGTTCATAGAAAATGTAACAAACATCATCCAGCACAGTATTAGATTTTCTGGGCCAACATTTTGAACGATTTACCCTCCCAAATGATTAATTCTTATTTAAAAAAAAATAAAAATAAAAAATAAAAAAACACTATAACTAAATTTAAAAAATACATTAATTCCCAATATCATTATTTTCTTTTGCAGTCCTATCCACCATTCTGTATGTTTCTAACAATTTCCGGCTCCGAATTTTAGTTATTATTATTTTCTTTTTTCTTTGCTTCATTGTCTTCATGTTACGTATTGTCTGTCTGGGACCATTTTTTTTATGTCTTACTAATCTATGTTTTTTTTTTAACTTTTAGGTTTTTATCTTCTCGGGCAATTGCCTATCTTCCTTGCATTTAATTTAAATTATACGATTTCATAATTTTAAATGGTTAAGCAACAGTTATTTGTTTAAAGATTTATATATTTTAAGATTACTATTGTTTAAATTATTTTACCTTTTGTATGTACCATTTATTATTCAAGGAAGAACATAAATCTTTATTTGAATTTGAATTTTAAAAAAATAATATTTAAAGCACTCACATGAAACGGAGATTAGTATGATACGTCCTTCTCTTTACAGACATTGCTCCAACAATTACGCTATGTAATCTGTTCTTTTTTTTTTCGAGGACCCTGTCTGGTCGTTTATGAAAGAATACCATCAAAACAGTATTGATAATGAATAGAAAATAAAAGAAATTATTTTATCTTGTAACAGGAAATCAATTCGAAAGTATTTATAATGAATATAAAATTTAAAAAAATATTTTATTTTACAACAGGAAATCAATCCGAAATTCAAGTTTTTGACTTGAACTCTATTTTACCAGATGATCTTACTAGATTTTATCGTTATCCTGGTTCACTGACCACGCCGGAATGCAACGAAGCTATTGTGTGGACCGTGTTTAAAAAACCCATCTCCCTATCTAGTAGCCAGGTAAACACTGTGTAACTTGTTTATTTAATTATAGTTTACAATGCTTACTTCCCGTTTGGAGTACTTTTGTTAAGGGAATTGTTTGTTTTTGTATCCTAAATGTAGAGTATTATAGACTATTTATGATTTTTATGAAATACATGAGGAAATATAATGCAATTATTAAGTAGTATTATTGAAATTTAAGATTAAACAAATAAACTAAAAAGTGACACACAGTAAACGAAATAATAAATTTTGACTATAAGTATATTTATTTATTCCATTTATTTAGCAACGGTAAGCCCAAACAGTTAAAAGCTGATTTCCATTGGGGCATCAAACAATACACTTAATATACGTATTATTTTATTACAAACTTTCACAGACTGACTACGTTCACTCATTTATCATGTAAACCAATTTATCAGAAAATTGACAAATTCATACTTTTTAAGTTCGTTTAGTAAAATTAATTGGTCAACAAATTCAAACGCATTCGACAAAAACTGTACCAGTAATCTATCCAGATTTTACTACCTGGAGAATAGAATTATTCCGATAATTACTTGCATTACATGTACAGTATCTCCCTCTTGTGAAGCAGTATAACTAAAGCGTGTTTAAAGTCTTTAAGATACTGTTCACACTTTATAATATAGAAGTTTAAAACCTACGTTCTGATTTAGTTATATAACAGGAGGCAATTTCAAGCCTTTATAAACTCACACCATCCGGACCTGTTGCTTTATCAACCAACCGACATTGATGAAATTTGCTTTTGGTACTGTTATTATCATTGGACATGTATGCCCTATCAATTTTAAATTAAATTATCAAGTACAATAATCTGTTTACATTCACAAAAGGCTCTCTTATAATAATTAATTCATTCAATTTATCTTAAATGACTGAATGGGCCGCCTTTGCTGATTTCAACAAACAGCATAGACCTATTATAAAAATACACATGGGTATGAAGGCCTCTGTGCTTCACATATCAGTAAAAACATAATTATCAATCTTCCTCCTGTTTTCTTTTCCCAATTTATTCAGATTGCGCGTTTCCGAACCCTACAAAATGAAGCCGGCGAGCCTATCAAGGACAATTTTCGACCACCTCAGCAACTGAATGGACGTAAAGTTGTTTTCTCCGACCCTGACTATGACCCATCACATGGCAGTGTTCTTGTACCGTCTCTTCTTGTATCCATCTTCAGTTTCGTCATGTTTACTTTTCTGAAATAGATAGTATGGAATATAGTACAGTCGATCTCTATACAGTTATTTCGAATCAATCAAGGATAGTTATAGGTTAATAGGGGGACGAATATTTAATGACCGAGGACACAATTGGTCAATGACGTCATTTGTAACCGGGAAATTGACTATCTTTAACTAGTGTTACTTTGATACTTGGTTGTTTGGGCCTCTATCCTTTTTTTTTTTTTTGTAGATAATGTAACTACATTTATGCTGCACTTGAACACAAATAATGCCATATACGTTTTTATTGGGTTTGTCACATTTAACATCTTAAATGCCTATGGTTTATACATTAGGCATATTTAAGCAATTGCAGTAATCAGAAAAAAAGCTCGTTTGATAACAGGCAAGTTACACTTCGCCCTCTATCGACAAAGCACAATAATGTATCAAAAGGTTTAATTATTAGATTGTGCGGCGAATCTGAGCAGAATTGCCGTAAGTAAACATAAATAAATATAATAGAATGCATACCATCAGGTATTAAACCAATATGCTCTGCCCACAGTTAGTTATATTAGCATTCGTTAAAGTCGCTCATTTTGTACCAGACGTACAGATTGTACAAATGCTTAAGTTGTTGCAAAAATAATTATCAGTGATAGTATAATAGAGGATTCTTTTTTGTGCAAAATCAAAACATGTTTCTTATAATTGAATTGGTTTGATAGTAAACAGTAGTATCGTATATAATTATGATATTTTGTGACAGGGGGATTTTATGTACATTTTGTATTCTGTATTACCATACTAAAGATAAAGGGTATAGGCCTAATTATAATTTTGATACTTTTTGACATATTAATAAATGATACTTTGTCAACTGTTGGTCACTG